TTATAACAGACACTTATTTTGTTCAGCGAATCCAAAAATGCAATAATATACAGGACATTCCATTTAAAAAAACGCAACTTTGATACCTTTAGAGCATTTGGGACACCCTGTACATTACAAAAATTTTTTTAAAATGTACGCTCGGTAGGCGTCGGACAATTCATAAAATAATACTTTTTAAAAATCAAACGGGCTAGCCGCAAACTTCCGTGCCGTATAGCGTGAATAACCCAGTATATAAAATTATCGTGTCACAGTTTCAGTTACCATACTCCTCCGAAACGGCTTGACCAATTTTGATGAAATTTTGTATGTATATTCAGTAGGTCTGAGAATAGGTTGTTATAAATTTTTTATACCTCTAAGTGATATGGGTGCTGCCATAAACCCCTATCTTTTAATAGCTATATTAGTAATTCAATGAATTTAAAATAAAATTAAAAAAATCTCAAGTGGGCAAACCGCCCACTCGAGATGAAAAAAAAACTATAGGAATATATGGCAATTATATGGCAATACAACGATTCCGGGTCAGCTAGTTAATTCTATAAAGTTTTCGTAATAATAAGTGTCATATTACCTACCTCTACTTCCCCCACTCATTTCCCGCATTTACTTTCCAAAAAATCTAACGATTTCTATGTTTTTTCTCCAATTTATGTAGTCTCGAATGATCTTCACCCATATTTTATCCGTAATGAGAAATGATCTACTTGTATATGTTTTGGAATCTGAAATTTTAGCTCAAATTTTTTCACCTAAAAAGGTTTAGTTCGCAATTTTCATTTTGACTAATTCGTGCGTTTGACAATCTCCAGATACACCTCTGTTCTCCTTAGAAAAGACGTACGATTTTCAATTTTCCACGTTTGGAAATATCATTTTTTTCTTTAATTTGTAGCACTGTTCTTATCTACTATACATGGCCCACAAAGTGGACGACTTCTGTTTGATTTGTTCTCCAAAATGTGCTAACATTACATTTTCAGAGATGAAATTCTTCACATTTTTTGCTTCACACCACTTCCTATATGTCT